GCCAGGACAGTCTGCAGACCCCGTGTCCCTCTTTTGCACCTCCCTGCCCTGGCATTAGGGCCTCTTTGACTCCTTGCACCCCCCTCACCTCTGTGCACCCCTCCCTGCATCTTCACCCCCTCAATTCTCTGCGTCCAGCCTCGCATTAACACCCCTTGCCTCTACGTACCTCCCCTTTGCATTGCACCCCTTTGTCTCCTTGCACCCCACCTTACATTGCACCTCCCTCTGAGGCTTGCACGCTTGTCTGTTGTTTGTCTCTCTTCTGTGCACCTCTTTTTCAGTTCGATCCCACCTTGCCTTAGCACCCTCCCAGTTCTTTGCTCCCTCCTTTGTGCTGCACCCCACTTTGCACAGCACCCCCTCACCTCCAGGCATCCCTTTTGCCATAGCACCCACCTTGTGTTGTACCCTCCTCCCCAATTTGCACCCCTCCTTGCATTGGATCCTCCTCCTCCACGCACCCCCTCTGTGCTGCACCCCCTCTTGCAGGTCCTGTGCTCCCCCTTTTCTGCTCCAACCCCGCTTTGCAGTTGCACCTTGCTTTGTACTGTACCGCCTCTTCCACCAGCACCCTCCACTCCTGTGCTCCCCCCTTTGCTCCACACCCCTTCTTGCACCAGCACCCCCATTCCCATGCTCCCCCTTTCCTGTCTCCCCTGCTCTGCAGCAGCACCCAGCTTCATAGGGCACCCACTCTTCCACTAGCACCCCCCCACTCCCGTGCTCCCATTGCTCTGCACCCCTCTTTGCATTGCACCCCCTCCTCCACGCACCCCCTTTGCCCTGCACCCCCTCTTGCACTAGCACCCCCCGTTCCCATGCTTCCCCCTTTGCCTCGCACCCCCTCTTCCACTAGCACCCCTCTCGTGCTTCCCCTTTCCTGCCCCCCCGCCTCCCCTGAGCCCCTCATCCCCCATATTCCCCATCTTTCTGCACACCCTCCCCCTATAACCAAGCACCTCTTTCTCCCCAGCCCTGTCGATACTTGCCTCCTCGGGCTGGTACCTACCCCCCTGCCAGGTTCAGCCCCTGCCTTTTGACTTCTCTTTTCCCCTTCTCTTAGCTGGCACTGCCCTGTCCTCACTTTCTTCTTCCCTTTCCTAAGGGCCCCGTTCCCTCCTCTGCTCACCTTTCCCCTACTAAAGCCTCACTAACGGGAAAGTTTCACCTGCCCCAGTGGGTGTCCTGCAGCCCCTTTCCTTGGAGAGGAGATCAACCTTTCCCTCTCTGCCAGCATCTGCTGGCTAAACTCTTTCTGTGAGCTACTGGGCCATGTAGGTCTTGGCGTCAGGCTGTTACTTGTGCTGGGCTGAGCTGGTGTCTTGCATCTTCCCTTTCTTCCTGTGGATGACTGTGTCAGCTGGAGGATGAAGAATAGAGGTAGGGTGTCAGCTTAGGGGGTTGGAACCACCTTGGGGGCCAGTGTCTGTGGGCATATCAGAGTTTCCTTGGCACTGCTGTCCTCTTGTGCTGGGTCTGTCAGGTCTCAGATCCTACCTCTTCTCCTGTCCACCTCTGTTGTAAGCAACTCCTTCCTCTGTTGTTGGCTGGCTCCGTGTTATGAGCCATCTGTCCAGGGGAGTGACTGCTGCTCCTGGCAACTCCTTCAGCAGTAGCTGTTTGCTGATAACCAGGTTATTTCCTCTTGCTTCTCTAGGTTTGTTAAAAAAACCCCAAACCGATCTATAATTTGACCTCTTGGAAAGTCAAGGTAAAGAGGATAAGGAAAATAAGTTGTGAGGCTGAAGAAGCCTGCTGAGTTGGCTCCTGGGTGGTATTTGGATGTGTGAAGTAATTTATAGATGCTTAAGGGAAGGGTCGTAGGAATCTTTCTTCGGGATGAGTCGTGTATCCGCAAGGCTTGTAATATGCAGTGCTGCTTTTCTCAATGACCTTGAGTTTGGAGACTGAGAAACTTGGGCGCATCTGAACACTTAGGAATCAGATTGCTTATTTAAGATTGCTAATTTAAGAATGAGCCCTGCTGTTTTGTGGAGTTTCCTAGCGTCGATGGAGCTCTTCTGAGGGGTGGTGATCCCCAGGTTTGAACTCAAGCCCACATCTGCAGGGCACTTCTCTGTGTCAGTGCGCTGCTGTGTAGGTGAAGTAGTGGGGTGTGTGCAGGTGATTCTGCGAGGGGAAAATCCATCCAAGCAAAGGAGCAGCCCCCCAAATCCTAGCTGCGTTGGGATTGTTCAGTATTAAAGGGACTAAAATGTTTGTGTTACCAATGTGGAAGCTTTGTTTCCAGACTCAGAGCAAGTGTTTCAGGAAAATTACAAGAGCCAGCTGGGGGAAACCAGAGAATCTTGTTACTCCCCTTTCTCCCCACACCCTGAAGCACCCTTTGAAAGCGTACTTTTCCAGGAGCTTAAGGGGCTCCTAAGTTACTGTCAGTGTAAATATAGCCTGGCAGATTTTGAGTCCACAGCCTGCAGAAATCTCTGGTTTGTTAATTTTTGACTGCAGATTTAAAGGCCAAGTGTTGCAAAAGTTCTATATCTGCCACTGGAGCTTTGCACTGCAGAAGCAGGAGTCCAATGAGCCAACGACAGCTAACTGCAGGTTCCAAACTACACCTCTTTATGCTTCAGGGTGTAGTTTGAGAAGAGGCTGTTGCTGTGGATGAGGTGACAGCTTTAACTAGATCTCAGGTTTTTAGGCCTGTCTGGGGTATTCCCAGGCAGGTTTGGAACAGTGAGGGATGTGGGAAGTTTGTCCTTGCTTGTAATTGAGTGCAGAGATGCTCTTGAAGAGTGATGGAGAATGTGCTCCAGTGTCATCTAAAAAATTACCAAAAAAGGTCATGATGATGTCCTACGTGTAGCCAAAGTGAAGCTGCTTGTGGGGTCATCACTGGTAAGAAATAGTGCAGATTTATCCTAAATTGTTCCTTGTCACTGGGACTTAATCCTCTGGTTTCATCATGAGTTGGTTGTGCAGGTTTAGTTAAAAGAGAACTGCATGAATGGTTTAGGCAACAATTTATCTAAAAGTGAACAGGATTTGCACCGCACTTTTGCTGAAACAAAACCCAGAGGTTTTGCTGAAAGAGGAACATCCTATACCAATTTATGTGCCTTCAGTGGTAACAAACAGAGAGACTCTTTGAAGGGGCTTCACAACTGGAAGCCCGTATGTGTCTAAGAAATTGGAGGCACAGTTTCTTCTTCTCTGATTATTTATATATATTTTGCAGGAGACCTACAAATCTTAGGGGAGTTTATGCTTTATGCCAGGGTCCGTTTCTAACGTAATTGGAGACTGTTGATCTACATGTACAGTGTTGGGGTCATATATATAGTCTTTAGCATGAAGAACACTTAATGATTGTTTCATAGTAAGACCTCTACATGTATTAACTCGAGAACTGGGTATCTATCATATTCATGGTGAGTGGGAGTCCGGGGTGGCTAATGGACAAAGTCTGACTTGGAATGAGAATTTGGGACTGCTTAATTCTTTGTCTGTGATTCCATGATAATTTAAGGTTGCCAAAACCTTTGCAGCTCTGGAATACCTGTTGAGCAACAAAAAATAGCATCGTGAAAGCAAGAAAAGCTCTTCAAGTCGTCTTGGCCGAGCATATACACATATTCTGGGAGACCTTTAAGCATTTTGCAGCATTTAGTTGCCAAACCAAGCCCTGTCTAGGCAAGAGAGACACCTTAGGCTCATGCGTTCCTGTTTGACTGTCTTTTTTCCAAGCCTGTCCTTTTTTTTTTTTTTTTTTTTTTTTTTTTTTTTTTTTTTTCAGTGATCAAATGCTAAAAAGCGTGCATCAGCATCTCAGGTATGCTAGACACTGAACAATTTGCTAGCATAGCCTTGGATGCTTGTATTAATATGTTTAAAGTCAGTTATGCATCAGATGTTTTCTTTTCAACTCTGGCTTATTCAGCTTTGTCAACCAAAGGGCTGATTTCATGGATGATTTTCTTGACCTGTGTCTTTTAAGAAATAAAGTTAAGATGTGTTTTTCTCTTGTTGAGACCTGCTGAACGACAGTCTGTTGAGAACACCTCTGATTTATTGCAGCTGACCATGACCTGTACAGAGAGTTGGGAAGCTTCACAATGCATCTGTAATCCTAAAAACACTCACAGAAATAACAAGTCCTGTGTATTGCTGCGCTCTCCCAGCCAGTGTGTGTTTTGGAGTTCCAAAAGGTATAAAATGTTGTGGCAGAGGACGCTTTGCTGGAGAACAAGAGAATTTGAGTCTGTATTAAGGAGTGGTAGGTTTTGGGGAGTTTGGATGTTCATTCCCTCTGAGCATCCTGTTCAGACAGTCAAAGAGTGCATTTATAGTGTATTAGTGGTTTTGCAGTAACTCATTCAGCAGTAAACTGATTTCTTGTTATGAGTTATTCCTGTCTGTAGAGTATGGGAGATCTCTATCCATGAAGTGCATTTCTCCATGTGTGTCCTTCAGGTTATTTGGTGCTTTTCTTGCTAGATAGGAGTTGAATTATAATGAGGTGTTTAGAAATTAGCCATGACTAGAGGTAGGAAATCTGACAAAAATACTTCTAGGGTTCTTAAGAGAGCAGTGGGGCATTTGTCAGTCGGGAGGTGACTGCCTGCTTGGCTTTGGCGTGGTATTAGGTCTCTTTGGGGTCCTAAGATCAAACAAAAACTAAACTGCTCTTAGAGAGGAAGACAAGCAGTCCCTGCCTGGCAGGGAAGAAGAAGAGTTAGCTGGATTCTGCTTGGAGAAGAGGGACTGTGACAGAGTCTGGGAGTGTTTTAGGGAAGCACTAAGAGGAATGGAAAGCTGCAGATAAGTCTGAGGCACTGAGATCTGCTGGAATATTTTCCTCGTGTCTCCTTATGATGT